ACACAAAAGTTATACCACAATTCATGCACAGTCATGTCAACCAGATACTGAGAGAGAGACACAGTGCATCATCGTGTCATGTGTGCTGGGATGCAGTATTTTGCACTTACTTTGTAGTAATAGAGTGTGTTGACTGAAATAAGGTTGTATGAATAGTTTTTGTTTTTGTTTCTGTTGTATTTGAGCAGGACAGGGATGCACTTTGGTGACACATGAAACAAATTCCCAACATTATGTGTTTTTGGTGTCTTTCCATCATGTTTGATGTGCTTGCAGATCCCAAGCATTTCCTAATTTCACTTCAGAATTTTTTGTTATACTTAATCTTTTGTTATATTTTTTATACTGTCATCATTTGTAAAGTATATATATATATATATTTATATATATTTACTTTCCTTTACCTTTACCAAATTTACCTGTATTTACTTTGTTTTCATATTTGGCGACTTTTTGTGAAAAATTGAGACTTTTGAGGGTGGTTCTAGAGATTTTCTGAGGGAGGGGTTTGGCAACACTGACCAGAGGCAGTGGCTGCTGGTCAATAGGGGGCGCCGCTCCCCCTCAAGTTAGCCAGGGAAGAAGACTATTTCAACATATTAAAAATAAGTTAAATATATATTTCAAAATAATCACGAAATTGCATTATTTAGTCATACTTTTTGACTGGTAGTCATTTAAGCACCTATTAAAAATCAAAAAATGTTTTGATTCTGTTGCAGTTAATGCATAACAATGAAACTGTTACCTTTTCGAAATAATCCATCAAACAAGTTGCAATTTGAGGAGCCTGCACTACTATTTTCAGTTCCATTATTGTGCGCTTTGTCACAATGACACGCCCACATTATGGGAACTAATGAATATTCATGTAAACTCCAACCACTGGAACAGCTTTTGACTGGAGCTGAATATTACACACAACTGAGTTGTTTGCCGAGGCTACTTGTTACATGACGCGTGCAACTCAATCAGGAGGGATCATTTGAAGTTTTGGGATTTTTCTGAACTGAAGTTTGGCTGCCGCTGTTGAGTTCCCCGAATGCGGTCCAGTATCGGGTGAGGAAGCCAGCAGTACAATATTCATTTCTATTGCTGTGTGTATAGTGTATATGTGTTAGAGGGCTTCTCTGTTTGCCGTGGGGAGGCCTGAGTTAATGATGTGCGTCTGTGTGAGTGCAGGTTATTGTTATATCATATGCCTTTTATACTGTATATTGACAACGGCTATAGCCTATACACCGATCAGTAGCATTATGACCACTGACAGGTGAATTGAATACCACTGATTATCTCTTCATCACGGCACCTGTTAGTGGATGGGATATATTAGGCAGCAAGTGAACATTTTGTCCTCAGAGTTGATGTGTTAGAAGCAGGAAAAATTGGCAAGCGTAAGGATTCGAGCGAGTTTGACAAGGGCCATATTGTGATGGCTAGACGTCTGGGTCAGAGCATCTCCAAAACTGCAGCTCTTGTGGGGTGTTCCCGGTCTGCAGTTCTCAGTATCTATCAAAAGTGGTCCAAGGAAGGAACAGTGGTGAACCGGCGACAGGGTCACGGGTGGCCAAGGCTCAGTGATGCACGTGGGGAGCAAAGGCTGGCCTGTGTGGACTGATCCAACAGACGAGTTACTCTAGATCAAATTGCTCAAGAAGTTAATGCTGGTTCTGATGGAAAGATGTCAGGATACACAGTAGGGCTGTGCAATTAATCGCATGCGATTGTCATGCGCATCTCGTCAGTAAAGCCGGTCCCATGATTAGTAGTAAATCTCCATCACCTGCTTTCAGATGGAGCGGCATTCACTACACAGAGCCGTAGTTCACTGACAAGCTACGCGATATCGCGTTCATAATTGAATGCGATTCATCTTCATAATCGAATGCGATTCATCTGCGATTATGAACGCGATATTGCCTAATTGTCAGTGAACTACGGCTCTGTGTAGTGCATGCCGCTCCATCTGAAAGCAGGTGATGGCGATTTACTACTAATCACGGGACCGGCTTTACTTACGAGATGCGCATGACAATCGCATGCGATTAATTGCACAGCCCTAATACACAGTGCATCACAGTTTGTTGTGTACGGGGCTGTATAGCCACAGACCAGTCAGGGTGCCTATGCTGACCCCTGTCCACCGCCAAAAGCGCCAACAGTGGGCACGTGAGCATCAGAACTGGACCACGGAGCAATGGAAGAAGGTGGCCTGGTTCGATGAATCATGCTTTCTTTCACATCACGTGGATGGCTGGGTGCGTCACTTACCTGGGGAACACATGGCACCGGGATGCACTATGGGAAGAAAAGGCAGTGTGATGCTTTGGGAAACCTTGGGTCCTGCCATCCATGTGGATGTTACTTTGACACGCACCACCTACCTAAGCATTGCTGCAGACCATGTACACTCTTTCATTGAAACGGTATTCCCCGGTGGCTGTGGCCTCTTTCAGCAGGATAATGCGCCCTGCCACAAAGCAAAAATGGTTCAGGAATGGTTTGAGGAGCACAACAACGAGTTTGTTTCCAAATTCCCCAGATCTCAATCCAATCGAGCATCTGTGGGAGGTCAGGGGTCAGCGCTGTTTTGGCAGCAAAAGGGGGACCAACACAATATTCAAAATGTTATGCCTGATCGGTGTACATTTTGATACTTACTGAGTGATCTTTGGTATGTATTTATTTATTGGTGTTATTTAATTGATACACTGATGGATACTTACAGTATGTGTGTCTCTGAGGTTTGCTGTGTGTTGAATTTGTGCCTGTTGGAAGGTCACATGAACTAATTTTAATATCTGTATTATGGTATTACCTTTGTGACACTGTACTGAATATATTAACCTGCTTGTTGATTCCTCCATTTGTAACCTAACTGTCACCAAACTCAAATACATTCGATGAATTGTAGGCTACTTATGTTTACTGTAACCTGCTGCTCTCCCTCTTTGGATTCTAACAGGAATGTGATTGTATAAAAATAAATTATATTTGTGTTGACAGACTTTGTGTGGTTGGGTGTTTCCTTGACTATTGATGCCCATATAATTATTTTGTACAGTAAAGAACCGGGTGGCTTCCTCCCCCGTTTTTGGGGATTGTTACAATACACAATAAATCCATTCTTTCATAGTTTTCTGTAGAAAATCATCAATTTCTGTTAATAATGCTCAATTATTTTGTTATTTGCACTACTACAGGAAATAGAAGAGTCCTAAACTGATTAATGATATGACGCAACATGTGGACTGGAGCAGCACGAGTCTGAACTTGAAGTGTATCTGGAGCCGTTTGTGCTTCCACTGCATAACTGCATAGCAAACAAAAACCTTGTCTGTTTCATTCATATCAAAAACTCTCCAGCGCTGGAAGATCAGGCAAAATGTCCCGTCACTGCACAGAAATCACCTGCGTGTGGTTAATGTTACCTCCCATCCTGGTTACGACAGTCTGGAAACGGTCACACTCCTGTTATGAAAACAACTCGAGTCATTTGGAAATCGAAGTACTACGCACACACACACACACACACACACATTGCAGTTGATTACAGGACACGGCTTCCCCATGTAAATCAATGCAAATAAGAGAGAAAGAGGGTTAGAGCACAAAAGAGGGAGACCAAGAGGACAAAATGCCACAGAAAGAAAAGGAAAGAAATAAAAGTTACCTAAATATTTTTTGTGCATGTTAAGTGTTCTTTTGTCTTTCCTGTCTGAGGCAATTGGTTGTTTCTCAAGTGGTGTATGTGAAGAGGAAGCGATGACTAAGCAGCACCACTATTTAAAAGATGATAATGATAAGGACACTTCTGAGACATTGGGCAGAACTGATTCTGTATGTTTACTGCCACGTTAATGTGCTCGTCTGCTGAACGGTTTACAAGGAATTGAGGTAAGGCTGTTTGAAATGAATTCATATTCAGGTTTGTTTGTGTGTGTGATAAAGATAAAGACAATACAAGATAAAGTCTTTGGGTAATGTTTTATTGGGAGTAAATTGGACCTGTGACTGTTTTTCTAGACATCTGACAAAGTCAGATTTCACATGCTTGTGCTTGAAATGTTCTTCAAGAACTTTACAACATTTAAAATTGTGAGATGAGCGAAGCATATGCGTTCTCTCGTAAAACCAGTTGAGTTTGGACAAACACTTCCTGTTTACTTTACAGCTTGCAGTGGTTTATACAGCTCCGTATGTTCACAATGGACAAATACATACTTCAGTCAGTAGTTCAGGCACGGTTTTGGGACATTCTGAAACACTTAATGTACTAAAACAGTGACAGTGGAGGACCAAATTCAGTATTTATAATTACTATTAATATGAATAACCTTATTAATAATTTTACTATTAATAAAATATTTACAGTCACGCAGAATCCTGTCTTTTGTCCGTCCATCAGCCCGTAAGTAACGGTAAGACTTCTCACTTCCCAACGTAGGTTGATGTTCTGATGATTTGTGCTACCCTGTCAGATTTTGCTACCTCCCATTGAAACAGTAGGTAGCACAATGCGACAACAAAAAATGCTACCCATCAGATTATGCTTTATTAACGCGTACACCTACCCCAATATTGGGAGTAAATTGGACCTGTGACTGTTTTTCTAGACATCTGACAAAGTCAGATTTCACATGCTTGTGCTTGAAATGTTCTTCAAGAACTTTACAACATTTAAAATTGTGAGATGAGCGAAGCATATCTTATCAGTCATAAATGTGTAAAATATGGTTAACACCCCTATCAGCAGGAAACGCTTCACAGAATACAGATGAAGCATCATAACTGATATAAAAACACAATTCATTCTGTAACACTAACTTTAACCATCATTTTCACACAAAAAAAAAAAAACCAAATAGGCCACCATAATAGGATAGTGTAAAAAAAAAAAAATAATAAAATAAAAAAAGCAAAATCTGCAACCATAAGCATATTTTAATTTGGCAACGATGTCAGTGTAACAGTTTGTGGTATGCTTGAAAAACAACGCATCGGTGTTTCTTCAGCATGTTGTGCCACGCATTAAGCATTGTTGCATTAAGATGCCCTGTTAAGAGAAGTTAAACTTTGAAAGAGAGAGAGAGAAATAAAATAAAATAAAAAAACTGACTCCTGCAGTGTGTCTTGTGCTACATCTATATTTTCTCGAAAGCAAGAAAAAGCCTCAACTCTGCCAACTCAATGTGTTTTGTTGAACGTAAATATACAAATCCCAGTCATATATTTATGTGGATTTACAGAAACCAAAAGAGGAACTGCTCTCTGCGTTGCGCAATATCACTACTGCGAACACAGCAGAAAAGATACTATTTATATGATAGATAGATAGATAGATAGATAGAAGGCACATAGCCTATATAGGCTACACATTAATGCATTTTCTCTCTACGTGGAATCTGTGTAACCACATAGACCATTTATTGGTAATTTCTTCATATACACAAAAGGGAACGTGATCTTGTTTTGTTTTTTTTTTACTTCCTGTCTCTGTTTACTTTCTCCCCACAGCAAACACGAGAAGCAACACTTATCTTTAAACCAAATGGCCACTCTTGTTCCTACGAAGCCCTCAGCCCTATCTGGACCAGCTCAGACCTCCATCGCACCCGCCTCCCCTTCCACAGCATCCCTGCCCCTGTCCCATCAGATCGGCATTGCTATCCTGGTCATTGCCTTCGTGTTTGGTTTTCCCGGGAACCTGTTTGTGGTGTGGTCGGTTCTGTGTCGAGTGCGTCGGCGCTCTGTCACGTGTCTGCTGATCCTGAATCTGGCCGTGGCAGACGCACTGGTTCTCCTGAGTGCTCCGCTGTTCCTCCGGTACCTGATAGGAAGGAGAGGCTGGGAGTTTGGAGCAGCCCTGTGTAAGACGGTCCATTACCTGTGCTGCGTCAACATGTACGCCTCCATCTACCTGATCTGCCTGATGAGCATGGACCGCTGGCTGGCCGTCACAAAGCCGTTTCTGTCTCAGAGGTTGAGGACTAAGAAAAGGCTCCTGTCCGTCATGTTGGGGATCTGGGTGATGGCTTTTCTGATGGCTTTGCCCATGCCGTTCTATCGGTACGTCTGAGAGTTTTGTTTTACAAAGACATTGAAACACAAATCATGCTTTCCTCAAGCTACATCAGTCAAGCACAACATTTGGAACAGCTGATTCATATAGCGACCTTGACCATTAAACAGATGGATCCCATTGGTCCAACACATAATTCAACGCATATGCTAATTAAGATGAATGCGATTGGTCCAACACGAATGCTAATTCCAGCCTATTATCCCTTATGAAAATTAACCATGGTTTTACCACAAAAAAACATGGTTACTATAGTTAAACCATGGTAACCACATATTTACCATGGTTTTGCTACACTAACCATATTTTAACCATGGTATTTGTAGTAAAACTATGGTAAAACAAATGGTAATCAATATGCCAAAAAACAAAACATGGTTACTACACCTTTACTACAATAAAACCACAGCTAATTTTTATAAGGGATGGAATGCCAAACCTGACAAAATTAGAAATAAATAAATATATAAATAAATATACAAAGAAATGTAAAAATAAATAAATAAATATATAAAATAATTATTATTATTTATATTTATATTTTATTTCCTTATACCTGTACATGTATATTTTTATTTGTTTCCACATTTTATTGATTTTTACATTTATTTATTTCCAATTTTATTTATTTCCACATTTATGTACACTCTTAAAAATAAAGGTGCTTAAAAGGTTCTTCACAGCGATGCCATAGAAGAACCATTTTTAGTTCCACAAAGAACCATCTAGTCAAAGGTTCTTTAATCCGTTGTTCTTATGATTTGTGCTACCCTGTCAGATTTTGCTTCCTCCCATTGAAACAGTAGGTAGCACAATGCGACAACAAAAAATGCTACCCATCAGATTATGCTTTATTAACGCGTACACCTACCCCAACCCTAAACCTACCTGAAAGTACAGTAATTATGTGTTGTTCAGCGTGAGAAAATTGACGCAATGTTGATGTGCACATGCGCAGTAAGCCCTGGTAAGACAATCTACTACCTAAACCACTAACTGCACCTGTATTTTTCAATAGGATCAAAAAAAAGAAGATTAAAATGACCTGAATATGGAGTCCGACTCCTTCCGTTAGTTACTAGTGCCTGCTCACTTTTTCCCAGGCCCGCCCAAAAATACCATTCTGCCTACGCCACTGATCTCACTTGTAAAATCTGCCTACCCTCCATGAATCCATGCCATTGTTTGATGAGTATGTTGACATAATGAAACAAATACTAGCATTTGCCTTGTAGATGTAGGGTCAATGATGGTAAATTTTACACTTTCTGATGGCTTTGCCCATGCCGTTCTATCGGTACGTCTGAGAGTTTTGTTTTACAAAGACATTGAAACACAAATCATGCTTTCCTCAAGCTACATCAGTCAAGCACAACATTTGGAACAGCTGATTCATATAGCGACCTTGACCATTAAACAGATGGATCCCATTGGTCCAACACATAATTCAACGCATATGCTAATTAAGATGAATGCGATTGGTCCAACACGAATGCTAATTCCAGCCTATTCTCCCTTATGAAAATTAACCATGGTTTTACCACAAAAAAACATGGTTACTATAGTTAAACCATGGTAACCACATATTTACCATGGTTTTGCTACACTAACCATATTTTAACCATGGTATTTGTAGTAAAACTATGGTAAAACAAATGGTAATCAATATGCCAAAAAACAAAACATGGTTACTACACCTTTACTACAATAAAACCACAGCTAATTTTTATAAGGGATGGAATGCCAAACCTGACAAAATTAGAAATAAATAAATATATAAATAAATATACAAAGAAATGTAAAAATAAATAAATAAATATATAAAATAATTATTATTATTTATATTTATATTTTATTTCCTTATACCTGTACATGTATATTTTTATTTGTTTCCACATTTTATTGATTTTTACATTTATTTATTTCCAATTTTATTTATTTCCACATTTATGTACACTCTTAAAAATAAAGGTGCTTAAAAGGTTCTTCACAGCGATGCCATAGAAGAACCATTTTTAGTTCCACAAAGAACCATCTAGTCAAAGGTTCTTTAAAGAACCATCTCTTTCTTACCTTTTTATAATCTGAAGAACCTTCTTTCGCCACAAAGAAGCTTTTGTGAAACAGAAAGGTTCTTCAGATGTTAAAGGTTCTTTATGGAACCATTTAGACAAAAAGGTTCTTCTATGGCATCGTGAAGCACCTTTATTTTTAAGAGAGTACAAACGAAAAATTGCTGCAAATAAGGCCATCTAAGATGTAGATAAGTTTGTTTCTTAATCAGAGCAGATTTGAAGAAATTGACATCAGTTGTTCACCTATGGATCCTCTGCAGTGAATGGGTGCCGTCAGAATAAGAGTTGCCCTCCAATACAGTAAAACTGCACATTTTCGAGTGGCCTTTTATTGTGGCCAGCCTAAGGCACACCTTTGCAATAATCATGCTGTCTAATCAGCATCTTGATATGCCTCACCTGTGAGGTGGATGGATTATCTTGGCAAAGGAGAAGTGCTCACTAACACAGATTTAGACAGATTTGTGAACAATATTTGAGAGAAATAGGCCTTTTGTGTACATAGAAAAAGTCTTAGATCTTTGAGTTCAGCTCATGAAAAATGGGGGCAAAAACAAAAGTGTTGCGTTTATAATTTTGTTCAGTGTAATTGGTTAACTTTACTTAATATTGTTTTGGAAAAATCTCACCATTCTTCTCAGTTCAGTTCATCATGTCAGGTAAAAGCGTGCAAGTCAAGTCAAGTAACCTTTATTTGTATAGTATTTTATACAATACTGATTGTGTCAAAGCAGCTTTACAGTGTCAAACAGGAAAATAGTTTGTCAATAATGAAGGAAGACAATAACAGAGTCATTTTCAGCTAAGGTCAGATCATTGATGATTCAGTGATGTCATCATCCGGTTCAGCTCTCTATGGTGAGTTCACTGTTGAGGATTTTAGAGAACGGAGTAGATGTTGACATTGAAAAGCCCCTGAGTTGCTTATTCACTCTTAAAAATAAAGGTGCTTCAAAAGGTTCTTCAAGCGATGCAATTGAAGAACCATTTTTGGTTCCACAAAGAACCATTCAGACAAAGGTTCTTTAAAGAACCATCTCTTTCTTACCTTTTTATAATCTAACCAACCTTCTTTCGCCACAAAGAAGCTTTTGTGAAACAGAAAGGTTCTTCAGATGTTAAAGGTTCTTTATGGAACCATTTAGACAAAAAGGTTCTTCTATGGCATCGTGAAGCACCTTTATTTTTAAGAGTGTACGTATTTATTTATTTATTTCTATATTTATTTGTTTCAATATTTATTTATTTTCACATTTATTTATTTCTACATTTCTTTGTCAGTAGGGTAATGAGGAGGGCGTGTTTACCTCAGGAATAGTAATGTAGTCAGAGTAGGCGAGTTGTAAGCTTTGAGGCCACAGTGACACCTTGTGATGCCCAAACGAAGTGTAGCCTACATGACGTGCCTGTTATAGTGGGATGAAGGACTTAGATGGGCAATATATGACTACTTATATCACAGGTTAAGTCATTTAATATCACCCTAACTCAGGGGTGTCAAACTCTGGAGCCCTGCAGAGTTTAGATTCAACCCTAATTAAACACACCTGATCCAACTAATCAAGTCCTTCAGGCTTATTTAAAAAAAACTACATGGTATGTGTGTTGGAGCAGGGTTGGAACAAAACTCTGCAGGGCTCCGGCCCTCCAGGAATTACGTTTGACCCCCCTGCCCTAACTGTATGTTGCCTATCCTACAGAGCCCCTAAAGGGACATGTTGGTGGGAAAAATACGAGGTGGAAGGAAGAAATATTTTTTTTCAAATCTTTTGCGTTCTCTCGTAAAACCAGTTGAGTAGTCGGGGGGCCAGTTCTCCTCTGGCCAGACGAAACCAGCATGGAGTGGTTTATGTCCAACATGCAACACAGGTGCAGATGACTCGTCTGGTTCACGTGGTCTTGTGCCGATGGTCGTCGAGGTGATGAGGTCTTCACAGGGGATCTGTCTCTGGGGCGCATCTAGTTAACATGATCTCCGCTGACATTCAGGGCTGTAGAGGGAAGTGCTCCCGGTTCCAGTTGACCTAATTAATGCAGCCTAACAATCATTTAACGGATTTGAATGATAGAAATGCGATAGTGTATTATGTGTATGCGCAACTGCTCACCAACTTTGATATCCGCTATACTGCGCACGTCAGACGAGGCGGAGTTCACAGCCTACATTTCAAAAAGTGTACTTGAAATTCATAAGCGATTGAATATTGTCAATCAAGAACTCAAAGAAGGGTAATATAAATTAGATATATAAATAAGCAATAAAAGTACTGATTACTTATGTTGGACGGTTAGCATTTAGGCAACACAGTTTCATGGCAAACGTTTTTATGTTTTGGCGAACTGGTGGCTAATTCGAATGAATTTGTATGATCCCATACATTTTCATAGTCTGCTCATGCCCCAGTGATGGTTGTGTTAATATTATGGCCTAATGCTTACCTTTCTGCCCCTACAAATTGTATCCCTGCTAAAAAAAAAAAAAAAAAACTTAGCTTAGCTGGTAATCCAGCCTGGTCATAGCTGGTCAGCAGGCTGGTTTTTAGAGGGGTTTTGACCACTTATTTAGCTGGTCAGGCTGGGGAGACTAGCTAAAACCAGATAAGAGCAGCTAACCAGCTCAGGCAGCTTTTTGCTGTTTTTTGTTTTCAGCAGGGATGTTTTAGTACGATTATCATACATATTCATAGGAAATCACCTCTTCGTAAAAGAGGAGATTTAGTTTGTTATCTCTGCTAACAGTTTCATTATGCATTATGCAATCATGGAATTTTGAGTCATACACTTAACTTTGAGAGTATGTGATTATTCTTCATTATCTGCTTGCATCTTTCCCCAACGGGCACTGGATGTCACTGTAACATCATAAAGACTTTGGAGTGCAAAGTTGCATGGATGTAAAATTTTGGTTGGAAATGAAACTGGGCTAATGTCAAAATCCAATGTTGACTTCAAGGACGTAACATTTTAATCTTATGGCATTTAGCAGATGTTGGGTTTTGGTTTATTAATACCATGACATAAAACCAACAAAAAAAATCAATGTATTGTGTAACACACAACCATATTCCGAGAGTTTCCAAGTTGGAATTCAAATTCAATTACCGTTCTTTTGCACCAAGTAGGACCATGGAAAATTTAACTTTATGAGAATGAAATACACAGTACACTAAATTACACAAAATGCCAGTGCAGCTTCCATATTGGAATTTTCTTTTTGTTGCATATCAATGTACTGTTACATAAAATCTTCTAGTGGAGCAAACTAGTTGAATAATTTGCTTTAATAAAACAAATTGTGACTATAATAAAATGGCATTTCACAGAAGAATGTAATGAACAGTGTGTAAACTCGAGTTGGAATTATAGTAAATGATGAATGGAGTAACATTTTAGTACCTCCGCAACTCTATATCAACAACCAGGAGTCCAGGACCGAAAATATTGGTTTTATAAATTATTATAAACCTTCTCCTTTATGTCCCAATCTGTCTTGTTGTTTTCTTCTTTGCACCAACAGTTCCGTGTTGCCAGTCTCTACGAATGTGTCCATCTACCTGTGTAAGCCGTACCACTGGGAGAGCAACGCTCATGAAACCTTTCAGTACCTGATTGAGACTATCCTGGGTTTCCTGCTGCCCTTCAGCTTCATCCTGTTCCGCTACATCTCAGTGATCCGTCGGCTGCGTAGCGCCATGTTCCAGCGCAAAGGAAGAGGAAACGCCCTCATCCTCCTCATCATCGCTGCGTTTACCATCTTCTGGCTGCCGTATCACCTCATCAACATCCTGCAGGTGAGCAACACCTCGCACTGTATGATCCCATTAATATCTCATTGCTATAGCCTACATCATGTGACCTCACAACATCACATGAATACATGCCAGTGGAAAAATATTCAAACTAGCCCCGACTGCACATGTACATTACGGAGACATCTATTTGATGTCTGCATTACATCTGCAAGACGTGTTTTTTAGAGTGTTTGCTCATCTGCAATACGTCTATGGGATGTATCCTATCAGATGTCTAATAGACGTTTAGAAGATGTCTTTAAGATGTATATGATTTAGAGTGTATGTAAAACTGACATCTTAAAGACGTCTATCAGATGTTTGAACACCGCAGATGCTTTCCAGATGAAGCGATTTTTAACAGACATCGAGAAACAGCACTTTAAATTTCCTATAGATACACCTGGGTGCATTAAGGAAGTGATGCGTTAATTTACTGGATTCGACCTCGTGAATTATATCCATTGTTGTTCATACTTGTTTCAAACAATTGGATTTCATTGATATTTTGGCTCAATTTGAAAGTTGCATTTCACCTGTTGCCCGCAAACTTGCTTGACTTGATTGATTGATGATATAGCGATTTATTAAATGGTTATTTATGTTGAAGGAGGCAAATTATTTAGGAAGAAGTTGAGTTATTTGAATATCCATTCTGATTGGTCAGTTTACTAATAAGTTGTTAACTCAAATTCATGAAAGAAAATAATACCCTTTTACATTATAAAAGCATTTGAGTTATGCAAATTAGTGGATGAATTGTTAAAAACAGCATTTAGTTTGATCACTTTTAATACATTAATAAGGAGGCTCAGCATCCCTTGCATACTCTAACAGACTGTCAATTGTTTTCGTGTGTGTGAAACTAGTAGGCTATGTTCAATAAGGTCAGTTTTCTCTCATTTTATGTCATCCCACAAAAGCATTTCTCTTTCTTGTTGGTCTGTTCTCACAGGTGATTGGTCTGATGCAGGGCTCCTCCTCTCCTATTTTAACAGCGGCAATAGTGGCGCGTCCCAACGTGACGGCATTCACCTTCCTTAGCAGCAGCGTGAACCCCATCCTGTACGTGTTTGCCGGCAGCTCTCACATCCGTCAGGCTGGTCTGGGCTTCATGGCCAAACTCTTTGAGGGAACCAACTCGGAGTCGGCCTCCACCCGCAGCAGTCGCGGTTCTAATGCAGAGAGCTCCGTTTTCACCAAGCTGTCCGTCAAGCTGAGTCGTAAAGGGGACGGAGCGAGAGCCGAGACCCCTGGTGGTGAAGACGAGAACACAGCAGACGTGCACAACAGAGATGAGATGAAGACTCTCACCACCCTGCATTAAAGTGCTCATATCGTGCATGTATTCCCCTGAGGTCCATTTATAATGTTACTAAATGTTGTTGGACTCTCATTATCGCAACTGAAATAATAATATCACTGCTCCGGGTGTGTGTTCACGGTGTGTGTGTATGTGTTCACTGCTGTGTGTGTGCACTTTGGATGGGATAAATGCAGAGCACTAATTCCGAGTATGGGTCACCATACTTGGCCACATGTCACGTCACTCACTCTCTCACTTCTGCTGCTGCTGTTTCACAATAAAAGTGTCTTATTTTCTTTAAATACTTGATTGTGATTGGCTGGAATACGGGCATTAAAACATATTTTACCGTTTTTAAAGGGTTTCTTTGTGAAAATTCTAGTTTTGTTTCGTTTCATACTCCTGCTGTTTACTGTTTTTTTTTGTGTGTTTTTTTTAGAAAACATCGACACGTTTGCATGTAAACACATCCTCATCAATTTGCTTATGTCCATAACACATTTAGACCTTCAGGCTGAACTATATTTACATGTCTGATGTGAAACAGAAGCATAAACAGTGAGTGTTATTGTTCTAGTCATATTCCATTACATTTCATTCAGTCTTATTCATCTGTTAGTCATATTACGTTGACTCCTAAAATCCAAAAATATACAAAAAATATCAAACGCAAAACTATTATTATTATTTTTTACAAAGCTGTGTGAAATATTTTTTAAAATGCATGTCAATTAAATGTTTGCTATTATCATGGGAAGCAAATTGTAAACATTTTCAATAATAAATGTATATAATGAATGTTTAATTGTGCTTGTTCATCAGCTCCCTTTTAAAGCAGCACTATGTAACTTTTTTCTGTGTTCAAAATTTGCAAAATGTTTATAATGAGTACATCATGAATTAATCTTCCAAACCGTGTTTTTGTCTTATTCCGAATCACTACGGTACACTTATAATAAGTACTTATATTTGGACTATTGTAGCCTGGTCGGGTCGTCACCACTGCGGAGTAACACATACCTGCGTGTATCGCCAGAGACATAAACTTAGAGAAGTAGCTCCGGTTGGAATGTTCTTCCGCGGGATGTGTGCAGTTCTGTTTATTAACCGCTAGAGCGCCAAAAGTTACATAGTGCTGCTTTAATAAAACCAAGTAACAGGGAAGTTACAGTACACATCAACATTTAAACAAGATTTAAAGCTTATTTGTGTTGGATTTGATCAAGTCAAGTGATCATTCTCATGTTAGGTAAGCAGTCAAGAGATGAGACTACTGGTTATAAATAATAATAATAATAGCAGAGAATGAAGAGAGGAGTGATCAATATACATTAAGGTCAGTAGGATTTTGTGATTTGCGCCATACTCTTTCAGCAGCCCTGAGCTTAGAACGATACTCACAGAGAACATCAGATAGCCAAGGGGCAGAAGAGGTGGTACGAGCTGGCCTGGAAGACAAGAGGCAGACAGTTTAAACAAGATGTAAGAGTGGAGCAGAAAGTATCAGTAGCACTGTTAGCATCAAGAGATGATAACTGTTCAGGAGACGGAAGCAAAGATGAAACCATAGCAAATAGCCGGGAGGGTGAGAGATGACATGTGGAGGGGTATGTGTTGTGTCAGGAACCATGTTGAGGTTAAGAGTGAGGAGGAAGTGATCCGAGGTGTGCAGTGGAGTAACCAGTACATGATCAGTCGAGCAGTGTCGTGTGTAAATAAGGTCCAGTTGGTTGATGATTTGTGATCGCTTGAGATCAAAAGAGACAAGCAGAGTGTGGAATGTATACTTACCCCGGACTTGTGAGCGTCAGCCCGGGCTGTTTCCAGTTATCGTGAAGGACGCCACTCATCCCTCCCACAGTGTCTTCCAGCTCCTGCCATCAGGTAGAAGGTACTGGAGTATCAAAGCTCGCTCTGTCAGACTGCTCAACAGCTTTTTCCCCCAGGCTGTGAGAGCCCTCAACTCCAATCTCCCTGCCCCCCTCTGAAACCTCGTCCACAACCCCTACCTCCTGAAACTAGGAACATTCGGTCTTTGAATGAAGCCTTTAAATGATGCAAAATCTGAATTGGGAAGCAGCCTATGTGTCCTTAACATGTCTTAATTGTAAATTTAATGTTGGATTTTATAATTTAATTATCATTCTGATGTTGGGAAACAGTCAGGAGACGAGATTGCTGGTTGTGCAGGAGTTTATTTGAGCTGCTGTTGTTGACATGTTCTTTTATGTTTAGCACACAAATATTGTAGATATTTTATACCCAATCTTCACTCCTTTAAGAATAAACAATATTTCATTTAGCAGAGGCACATAATGTTGGTGCTCACTGATTCACATTCAACCAGACATTTCTAATTAGACATGATTAATACATGAAACTCGATAAAAGAGAGAGAAACAGCTGCAACAGCATACACAGATCCTTAAAACACAAATAAGGAATTTTGAAAACTCATATCATACTCTTCAGTTACACAAATTATCTCATAATAAATTGAAGGAACACTGTATAAATATATATCTAATGATGAGTACATATGATGCCCTTCAATCCCACAAAATTCAATTAATTTCTCATAGTTAGTAAATAAAAAAAATTTAGAAAAGCAAAACATACTTTAACATTAATTCTTGCCTTTGGCTCTTAAAATGGAGCAAACAAACCCACAGGAATCACACTGATGCTTCAACAGAAATTCATCCACTTGAAGATAAACAGACCCTCAACAGAACAAATCAGACAATTTACAGCTCAATAACAGTTTACTGAAGAATACGTTGAACTATATTAACAAACATCTGAGCAAAAGATTTCTGCCTTTTTAACCCTCAGGTGCGACTGCCTGCTGAGACTGAAATTAATATATGTAAAATTATTATTTAACAAAGTGATGAATGAAAGTGAAGTTAAAGGAAGTGAACACACAAGCACTTGTTTTCTTACATGAAAGGTCTGTGTATCTTTCACTCTTAATATCTGCTGCAGATGAAGTTGAGTTTGTCAGTTTCAGGACGGCTGATCCAGCGCTGATCTCCTCCAGACTGAACTGCTCCAGATCTCACTGTGTGTTCACAGTCCTCCTCTGATGTGCCGTTCCCTGGAGCCCAGTTCTGATAGCACACGGTCTCTCCACTCACCCAGAACCAGATGCCCACAGTGCAGGAGTGACGTAAACCCAACCACACCGCCGCAGTAGACGCCCGTTTAACCACGTTCATCACACGACGCTGAATCTCTTCTGAATGAACCGAGACCAGATCCACATGATTCTGTCTGCAGTATCTCAGAGCTTCAGACCACGTCAGATTCTCTCTGATCACAATCAGTTTATCTGGAAACCAAACAAAGCACAAGCAGAAACTAGAGAGAGACTCATCAAAAACAACATGCAGAACAAACACTGCATGAATTTGTCATGTCAGACGTGTAGCGGGAACTTTAAGAGATCTGGAGGTGATGGATGGATTGTGTGTGTTTTGTGAGGATCTACTCACCTTCATGACACACGAAAGGAAAACGGCTGTTACAAGAGACGTCAATCCATTGTCCCAGAGCGTTCTGTTCAACAGCTGTACAGTCTTCATTACCTCCAATATTATTAGGTTCACCAGATTTCCAGTATCTGAATGAGGAGTTACTCTGATCTGACCACTGCCATGAGTCTCTGAACAGACCGATCCAAACAAATGATCCAGATAAATGATTATCACTAATGATCTTCTTAACCTGTTGATTCTCATTCTGGTTTCTCACACTGACCAGATCAATGTGATTCTGTCTGCAGTAACTCTGAGCGTCTCTCCAGGTTTTCTCCTGGTTGATAAAGACGAGTCCTGTGTTTGCTTTCAGAAAACACATTAAATAGATTCATGAATCAGTTTGTTCATTATTCTTACGCTGCTTTACAGTTTGGATGTGAACAGGAGCATCAGTGGAAACAACAGAAACACATTGCATTCAAACACAATACATTTTGCTGATATAACATTAAGTAACATTTGTGAATGTCCTTGATCATTTTATTGCCACTTTCTATTTCTCCACTACATTTCCTTACACGTTTCTCTAAAATACTGGATTCAGACACAAAGAGCTTTATGAGAGAAACATCAAACAGGCAATGATGTTCTGCTCGTCCTTAGAAACATGTCGGTAAACAGTCCATTCAAAATGTTGTATTCTAGATTAATTATATATTTATATATATATTGTTGAAATGTTAATACTATTGCTAGAGGTCATCTTGCTCCTATAGCCTGATTTTTTTTCTTAAATTGTTATTGACATTGTGTCCTATGTAAGCTCACTTATTTAAGGGTTTGTGTTGAGATACTGAAAGCTGAATGTATCGCGCAGCTCAAGGTGTTCAGATGGTTTATCACAGACTCTGTAGCTAATGATCACAAGTCCATGTCAAAAATGTTTTATTTGTTTCAAACATCTACTTAAAAAAGCTCACTTCTGAGAATAACAATCTCCCAGGGGCAGACTGTCATGCAGTGTGTCCAAAAATGATGTCCGGAGGTGCTGTTGGTTTTTAATGACCTTACATGTTTGATTAAACCAACTATTTTAAATATGACAGAAGAACAAAACACTCAAACTGCTTAAGATATTTCTCTGATAAAATAATTATAGCTCACAGGAAAACACAACATAATCAGTTAGCAATACTTTGTTTGTTCTCTCGTTTTTGTATGTGTTCATAATTACTTTGTATGACACCCTGACCAAGAAATAATGCCCACACAGTTTGCCATGTTTCATTGTATTATCACAAATTAACTATTGACTTCAATCACAACAATGCAATATGCTAATAAAATCTTTAATACAGTTTTAATAATGTTTGAATAAAGGTTAATGTCAATTTTCCTAGGTCAGACATCAATTTAGGCCTTTACTATATGTCTGTTAAATTTGATCCAATTAATTAATCTCATTTCATGTTTTTCATTAATTAATTCCCTAGACAATGGATTGATATTTTTGAATTCATAATTTATAAATATTGCTGGAAAAACAACAACAACAACAAAACCTATGCTCTCGAATGACAGATTTCCACAGTTATCCCATGAGACAACAAAAGATCAACATGCATTCAATGAAATACTTTTTTCCAGTTTGTCTCTACAGAAACTGACTTAAAGTTGTTTATATTTATGACCACATTAAAAAGTAAAAGCAATTAGTTTTGTGTCAGAACTGTGGCCAGCTTCGGTTCTGGAGAGGCGCTGTCCTGCAGAGTTCAGCTCCAACCATAATCAAAGCTCTTCAGGATCACTTGAAAACCACGAGCTGAAGCAGGTTGGATATACACTTTACAGGGCAGTGGGCCTCCAGGAGTAGGGTTGAAAACTTAAATATGATGCATCTTTTTATAAATTAATGTTTGTTGTCAATGTAGGAAGATGCACTCACTGTTATTGGATGAATTGCAGATGAAATTCAGGGACTTATCACATTCCACAACATGCCATGTTCCATTTCTCATAATAGAACAATTGTTATTTTCTGGTTGTCCAGTAGCCCAGTTCAGATAGAGCGCAGGTTCACCTGAAGACCACTGCCATTTATCACGACCTGTCTTCTGCAGCCCAATCCAGACTCGTCCAGCATACTTCTTCAGCTCGTTCATGTCGTTCATGTTGTCAACGGTGGCCAGATCTGTGTATTTCTCTCTGCAGTATCTCTGAGCTTCAGTCCAGGTCTTCCTCTCATTTATAAAGTGATACTGACGCTGAACACATTCAGATACGGAGCAGAGAGCTGTGAAAGAGAGGCTTTGCTTTAATGCTTTTCATAACAGGATCAAACC